ATGCTTAATGGATGACGTGCTGAGAGTTCAAAGAATCCGTTTAGTTCCGGACCGGCCGACGCTTTAGGGAAGTTTCTTTGACTCTTTTACTCGCTTGTTGTAATAATGACTTGAGTTAAGTTGAGTACGTGTGACCCTTTCCTCTTTACCCCTCGTGCATAGTGCATTTTTGGTCATCGAGGGCGATGCCAAAGTTTAAGTGTGGGGGAGTGAATTGGGCATTCGGGAAGTAGTTGTTACATGTGATTTTATAGTTATCATGTGCAGGTGTTAGTTGTATATTCATAGGAAATTCATGTCAAATTTTTTGAATTTTTTTATAAACTGTGTCTTTGTGAACTGGCTAGCGTTTTGACTATGCTTTTAGAACATCCTTGAAGTGTTTAGGCTTAAATTGCTTGCACTATAATCTAGTTGTTGAGAGGATGAAGGCATTAGTCACCCATTGAATTGATTCATAAATCTTCCAACCTACCTGAAAAAGTCCTTTAGGAGAAGCCATTTTGAGCCTGACCGTTCATTGTTTGCCCCAATTAATTGAGCTCCATAACCAAATGGCCTGTTTCCTTACCCGTGAATATTTCTGACTTAGTCTTGGTGTTTAGGGAACTAGGGGATTAATTTGCTAAGTTTAGGGAATTTTTGTAGGAGCCAGTTTTGGCACTGTTCTTATGCCCCAAATGGGGTAAGAGCAGTCACTTTTTAGGAATTTGATACTTTCGAGGATTGCATTGTAGGCATGGATTCACTTTGAATAAATGAATTTTAATTGTTATTTTTCCTTGGTGAGGCCGAGATTAGAATGAGGTAATGTCTAGTGAGAATTCAAAAGGTAAAAAATCAATATAGCTAAACCTCTTACCTTGCGAAAAAAAGAATGGGAATCCCGGTCAAAAAGCATAAGTGTTCGCGCAATAAGATGAGACTTGGGTATCTTTCGAAAGAAATGGTGTTCTCGTGCCAACATGACAAGGAAAACTGAACTTAATTAATTGAACTTGGAGGCTTTAGAAAAGTCAACTTTAGTCCTCCGCGTACTTCAAGTATACGTCAAAGCACCCATGTGTCACGACGGTTTAGATTAGTTGTACACCATGTCTACTCTTTGCATAGGTTTAGATGATTGTTCCTAAATTGTGGCCTACTGAGTTCCTTGATCCTAAGAATAGCTCTAAAGTTCCTGAATGCATTGAGCCTTTGTTAGAATAATCCAATCTCTCAAAAGAAAGGGACTGTTTTTTACCATTCACCATTCACCATCACCTTCACAAGTCCTTCTGGTCAATAGCTAGTTTATCTGTAATCTGTGTATGCTGTCGTTATTTTAAGGATGTTGTGAATATTTTTGTCAAATAGTTTAGCTTGAGTACAAAGATGTTGTTTAGGGAAGAATTTTCTTGGTTTAGATTGTCTGTTCTGTGAATATCCCTTTAGCTACGTGTGCATGCTAACTATTTTAATTCCGTGTGGTGATTATCGTAAGTCCCGTTGTTCGATTTGCTTGAGGACAAACAAAAGCTTAAGTGTGGGGGAATCTGATAAGTTCGTATTACAACACGCATTTGATGCGTGTTGGAGTCTGATTTTGATAATTTTCCTAGCCTTAAGGTGTTGCAAGTCTCAATTTTAGCTCAAGATGTGATTATCAGGCGTTGGGTTGAGTTTTGTTGCATTTGGAGATGAATTGAAGAAGCTAGAAACCGGCATTGGCGCTTAAAGAGGCAATCGAGAAGAGTTTGGAAGCATTCGAGGAAGATTTGAGAGATTTGGAGGTCACCTGGAGATTCACGACGAAATTCTGATGAAGAAAGAGCATTTGGATCGATCTTATTTGCATTCGGGAGCGTTTGGAGCAAGAAAAAGTCAAAGGTAGCCCAGGCACGATCGTACCCGAAGAAGAATGTCACGAAGCCACTGGATGCCAGGCACGATCGTGTCTGGAAGGGAGGCACGATCGTGCCTCTATACGAAACACGCGTGGGTTCCGCAGGCACGGTCCCAGGCACGATCGTGCCTAGCGTCGTGCCTGGTTCTGATTTGCCCTAATTAAGCCAAATTGCTTTGTTTCCTATAAATATCACCTCCCTAAACCTATTAAAGGGGGATGAAACTTTGAGAGCAAGGTTAAGGACGAATTTGAGAGCTTTTTAGCCCTGGTTTTTCAATTCTTTAAGATTCTTTGTAAGTTCCTACTTTTTAATTAATGACAATTATTTCTATTTTTCCCAATTCTATTGATTCTTCAATTATGAGTCGGGAGTAGTTTTAATTAGAGATTTGGGATTGATGAAAGAGTTAATCACGATGTATGACTAGTTTCTTAATGGTTTAAATTGCATGAATGCCGTTTAATTTGTGTTTGAATAATTTAACTGATATCTTTTGTAACCTAGAATGCGCGCTAGAATTACAATTGCTTGTAGAATAAGTTAAGAGAGATCTAATTTATTCTATGACACATTCACACACACTTAATCGCTCGTTAAGAGATTAGTAGCGATTAAGGGGGCGTAAGCTTGCTCGTTTTGGCAATAATTTAGGATCCTGTCGCATAAGAGATCAACCTGGTCCCCTAAATTATTGTACACTTCACCGCGAGAGCGGTAAGAACTTAGTATTGATTAGCTAGGCTCAATTAAATTAATTTCATGTAATTAAGCCTGATCTGCCAGAAATCTGATTACCCCTGAATCAATCTATGTTCCCTTCGTCGTTAATTAAGAACCCAAATCTTTACTTTTATTCGTTTATTTGCAATTTTAATTTTCTCAATCAACCAAATCTCGCACGACTGCATTTATTTTATTTAATTTTTAATCGCTGAATTTAGTTAGTCCTTAATTCTCTTTTGTCCGTCCCTGTGGAGACGATACTCGTACTTTCAACCACTATTCTATAATCTTTTTAAGTGCGAGAAAACTCACATCAGACACGCAAATTAATAAAAAGTGATTTATGTGGTTGATATTGAATTGATAAAGTAAGAATAAAGTAAGAATGATTTAGAGCCACACAAACTTTACTAAATTTTGTATGGGACAATCTTAGTGGGACGGACCGATAAAGTAAAATGGGACAATCATAGCGGAACGGAGGTATTATTATACTTGTTGTTTTCAGTCCATTACCTATGTACAAAGATAAGCTCATAGATCCTAAAGAGCAATACAACGTGACTAGTAACTTATTTCATCAATCATTTGATGAGTTCCATGCACATTATGGTAATGCACCCCCTCCCTGGAAACCAACTGCTTCTTCATCTAAAGGAATATCATTTTTTAAATCTACATTTGGTAATCTTATGAAAATAAATAAATCAACTCCCGTTATTGCATAAAGCTCGATTAACGAACTTTCTTTATATCTAACGGAAAAAGGAGATGACTTTGACGTTCTGAAGCGGTGGAAGGACAAAAAAGTAATATTCCCAATTTTATCGAAGATGACAAAGCAAGTGCTATCAATCATGAATGCCGATTTCCACGGTAGCCGTGGAACAAGAATTTAGCGAAATTGGCAACGTCCTCACAAATTATAGAACGAGATTGCTTCCACGGTTGGTTGAAAATCCAACGTAGATTTCAAGAAGTTTGCATCACCCCCGACCGCCACTTAAATAATATACTTTTATTTTTTTTCTAGCACTTGTGAATTAATTTAAAAAAAAGTAAAAAATTAAAACATAGGCCCAACCCGACCGAAGCTCAACCAGATAGTCTGGCCCGATCGGTATCGGTACAAACCCAGGCCAGTACCTGACCTAAAACCCTGGTCGAGCCAGTCCACTAAAATCATAGCCTAATGCCCACGTGCTTCATAACGGGTCCAAGTTCCGGGCATGGTCCAGGCCCAGTAAACCGGGCCAGGTCAAGCCTGCACAGTTACAGACAGGGTTGGGTAGGCCTGTCCCAATCCATCCCTACTAGCTTCTTGCTTTTTTGTTTAGGAGCGTATCAAATACTTGTGCAGATTGAGAAGCAATTGCAATGAAGGATCAAGAAACTGCCAAATCCTCAATTATTTCAGCTAGCTGATTCAGGGAACATGCCCTTGATTCCTTGAATGATTGTCTCCAATTGTTAACTTTGGGTTCTTCTTTTCTGTCTCCAAAGGGTGGACTCGGGCCGGGCCAACCGGCCCGGAACCAGACCGGCCCGCCACTGTACGGGCCCAGACCGGCCCGCCATTGTGCGGCCCCGGACCGGCCCGGTGAACCGGGTTGTTGGTCGGTTCGGGCCACCCGGTCCGATGGATTCTCGGTTCGGGCTCGGGCCCTTCAAAAGGTGAACCGGCCTAGCCGGTTCGGGCCCGGGCCAGGCCAATTTTAATTTTTTTTTGAATTTTTTTTGAGTTTTTGGGTTGGGCTGGGTATTTTGGGCCATTTGAGGTGGTTAGGGTTGGTTTGGGGGTGAGGGGGAGGGGTGGGGGTTAACTAGGAAAAGCCCAAAAAAAATAATATACCCGAGGCCCGGCCTGGACCCGGGGGTTACCCGGGCCGGTTCCAGGCCTCCCATACCTTGAACCGAGGCCCGACCGGTTCAAGGCCCGAACTGGGCCCGGCCCGAACCGAGTCCATCAGATATGGTGTTGTTAACTTGTTATGTAAAAAAAACTAGTGCGGCTAAGAAAGTAAGAATGATGGTTATGTGGCTAAGGGTATTTTAGATATTTTGGTTATTTATTTATTACTGTGTAATATTTAATTTATTGACTATGTATAGTAATTTGGAGATTGCGAATAGAATTACCCATTTATAATAACATCCCGCCGGCTTCTCTACTGAACATTGTCGTCGGCTGACTGTTAACGAGCCATATTACAGTTCACATATCTACTTTTGAACTTTTATTGTTTATATTGTTTTTCGATAATGTTAATTTGTCTATGGTTTGCTTCTAACTCATTAATAATTATCTGCCATTTAAAAAACACTATTTGTATATTTTCCCAACAGTTTGTTCCTAGTTTGTATAAGCCCAAGTCTGACACAGATTATTGGGGGGAAAGGAAAAATGGAATTGCAAATAAATTTCCTTTATCATTATAAACAAATCTGCTAAGCTAAACCTGAATCGGAGAGCACACATCCAAGTTTACACTTCTCAAACTGCTCAATAACTGAAAATGGGTAAATCCAAGGCGTAAACAAAAGGAATCCTGGGGGGGGGGGGGGGGGGGGGGGGGGGGGCTATTATGCAACATTTATACTTCGACAGAAAATGGTGCCGAATCTTATACTTCAACACATTACTTTTGATGAGTCCTTTGAGCAGCAAGTTGACGGACATCTAAGGAAAGTAACTTTTTGAAAGATTCATATGATGTGAAGAAAAGGGCACCTTGTGTAACATACATCGCCAATCGCGGAGTCAGGCCTCTATCGAAAGGAAAGCAAAAAAAAACTATGAAGCAAAAAAAAAATCACGGAGTCTATGAATTAGAGAACCATATCAATTTATCTCACAAGAATTACTAGGAAGCAATAAGTGTTTTAAAAGTGTCATTTTGGCATTGTGTTTTTTTATGTACACTTTTTCAAAAAATATGAGACCATAACATATATTTCAATGTTCTGTGTCGTTTCATTATTGTTTATTTTTTATTTTTTATGTTCACTTAACAAATAACTCAGACAATATCCCGTGATTGATTGTTCTTAAACAAGGACAAAACTATGAAAATGTTGGAAATTAAATTTGATGTTTTCAGAACATATTTTAAGGTTAGGCACTGATTATAAATCCTCCCGAATATCTATAAAGATATATTTTCATGATAAGTTTTAAAGATCATTTGTCTACAAAAAGGATAGGGAGGATGTTTTAAAATTTAGAAAAGTAGATTGAAAATAAAAGATTTCCACTTTAGAGTCTAGAAATTACCATACCTGTAGAGACCGGCAAGACCTTCATGCTTTATTATTTTTTTAAGGCTGTCGAGAACACCGCCATACTGGTTGGAACCAGGAACCTGCACATATCAGGAACTTCGCAACACACTAACAAAGCTGCTATTTAATTAATTCAGATATCAAGTAAGCATTAGTACCCCAAGGAATCCAGATCATCTATAAATAAAGACTGACCTGTGTTTGCATCCTTGTCTTCACTACATCAAACGGTGTTGTGAACAATGCAGCCATAGATCCAGATAATCCCCCACAAACAAGCTTCATGGATTGACGAATATGAAAGAAATGAAAAGAATAGTGTTCTTTAAATGAGACAGAATATAAAGCATCAATTGACATTCGAGTAAGCATTCCATGGAGTAAACCCCCACCATAATCATTATTATTCCTTAATGGCACAAAGAATAGCTTAAGCCCTTTTTGGGTTTGGGACCGAGAAACAGGAATTATTTTAGGTTTGAATGTCTTTTACCCCTGCAACTATAACACATTTTGGTTTAGATTCGGACAAACATATCACATTTTGACCGTTATGGTTTACATTCCAGAGAAAACATATACTGGTATCTTTTTCATCCTTAATTCCAGAGAAAACATATACATATGTATACTCTTTTCCTCTTAATCCCAATCTGCAAATTGACTATATGGGATAGATCTTTATCTATTTCACTGTCCTTTTAAATTATTGATGTCATGTAACAGAACATGTCACTAAGTAGGATCTCCTTACCATCTAAGTTAATCTAACTATTACAACGATTTCTATTTCCATCACTACTGAACTTGTACTTCTTATTATCAAGTTTTGACACCATAATAATCCAGTGGCAAATCCAGGAAAATTAATTATTGGAGGCATAATCTTTTGTAATTAGAGGTTATAGTTACATAAAATACAAAATCTCAATATAGATAATTTACCATATTATTTTATATTGATTTTTTACTTGATATTTAACATGATTTACAATAGGACAAACAAAAATGTATTACTATCATTACGCTCACTACTATTCTATTATTGTTGACTCATATATACATATATAAGCAGGGGTGTGGCTAGGGGGCCAACCATGGCCCCGGCCCACCCCAAATTTTCAAATGCCTCTGCCCACTTAGTGTAAAAAATTCCGTGTAAAATTTTCTTTGTACTGGCCCAGTGCCCTGGCTCCGCCCCTTCATATAAACACATATATCACACAATTGTTATATTGATTGAATTATTATTTGGTAACATTTACATTTTATTGATTTATTTAGATCATCATAGAATGTATTTTGAATCATCCAAATTAAATCTATACTCATTCTTGTTGTTATTATTATTATTAATATTATTATTACCATTATCATTAATACCACTCCCTATAATTATTATCACCATCATGAAATTAATTCTAACGTACATCTGATAAGATAAACAGACCGGACTATAGAAGGAAACACATTGGATTAGAAAAATTCTCCAAAACTTAGATAAGAAAAATTCAGATCAAACAAAGAGAATAGCTCAGAGGCTAACGAAACCTCAAAAAAGGCCACAAATAGCAAATTTTATTAGAACATCTCTAAAAGAAACGTTCGTAAATGCTCCATGCAGGGGGCAAGGTGGGGACCATATGTGTAAGGGTAGCAGGTGCGAGCAATTCAAAACGATGTAGGTGGCCAATGGAAAAAACATATATGGGGATTCTTATCAGATAGGTTAAAGACTTAAAAGGACAAGAATGAAAGCTTGGAAAGAAAAACAGAGATGATTAAAAATACAAAACAGCAGTATTTGAAGTTTTTGGAACATACTGTCATTACAGTGTTGTTTTGAAGGTCAAATTTCACTGGTGATGACACCAATTGCTTCAAAGTCTCATATGTGTAGAACTGCAAATCAAATTGAAGATCTACGTAATATAAAAACCTTAAACACAAAATGTACAAACTATCATACTACATTAGACATACCTTGATGATTGAGTGTGGAACGTTGCGGCAGAGAACAGCTCCCCACCCAACATATAATGATGGCAACCCGCCATTTTTAATAATACAAATACATGCATCCCTGCAACATTTAAGAATATGATTGAAAAGGTAGGAAGACATGTGAAGATCGTGTACGAAATCTGTTTTGAGAAAAATAGCTCATGTATAATGTATATAACATGGTCCTTGGAGCACTAACTTAAAAATGTCAGGTGTGAAATTTTAATTATTAAAGACAATGTTAAAGGAATACTAAATTAAAGTTGTGGGAGGATTTTATATTTACAGGCAATTAATAACTTATTTCCATCAGTTGCGATGGAGCCAAAGACTCACTATTTTTGGCTCACTAAACTGTCTGCGTTTCTTTGTTATGAAGCAGCAATCAGTCCATGCAATTTTCGACGCGATTTTCATTATGGATCATCCAGAAACAGCCTTTGTGATTTTAGTACAGGAGTAAGAATGCGTACATCCTACCCCCGTTACCCCACCGTAGGTGGGAGCCTTTGCGGCACTGGGGTGATGATGATAATGAAAGCAACTAATAACTTCTCATAATATAATAATTAATTAGAAGACTCGTGAATGATAGTGGCACGTACGTATACCTATTTTAATTCAAAAAAGCCCTATTTTATTAAATTACTAAATGGACAGAGGAGGCGATCTCAATGGGCATGTGGGCTCAAGTCGTGATGATTTAAAGAGTATCCATGACAAATATGGTTTTAGCACTACAAATGAAGTGAGGAATAACATTCTGGATTTTGCCTCGACATATGAGCTGGTTGTAATCAACATTTGCTTCAAGAAAAGAGACTCTCACCTTGTGACTTATAGAATTGGAGCTAATAGTACCCAAATTGACTACTTTTTAGTACGGATACTCGGAGAACTGGTTACACTGATTGTAAGGTTATCCCAGGTGAGAGTGTTGTCACAGCATAGGATGCTTGTGCTTGATTATCAAGGTAAGAAGAGAAGGCGGGTTAAGGTACAAGTGAAGCCAAAGATAAAGTGGCGGAGACTCGAAGAGGATCTCCAACAAAATTTTGCACACAAAATGTTGGAGGAAGATGTATGGTTATTGATAATGACACACATATGGATGATGTGTGGTTATCTGATAGGAATCAGGCCCATTAGACTAAGAATAGAAATAATAACAACAATAAATGTAAAGAGAGTATAAATAGCTTGGAAAGGGGAGTTAGTAGGTAGGCTTTTAGACATTTGGTCTTAGGACTGGGAAGGATACGAGACTGAACATCTCTATCTTTTGGGGCTTCGGCTTTGGGGGCCTTTGGCCTTTGTACTGATTATTGTTCATCTTCTTCAATAAAGATTACTTTGTTCATTGATATTAATTTCTGTCATTTCTGGATAATTGGAGAGTTCTATCAGTGGTATCAGAGCATGTAGATTCTGTGGATGGTCTTGACGCGTACGCAGATGGATATGGATGAACGAGCTGGAGGAAAACCAAAAGAGATTCAAGGAAACGTTGGAGCGAAATCAACAACAGATGAAGGCGATGTTTAAGACGATGCAGGCTACGATCGCGAAATTGGCGGAGCAAGGGCAAAGTCGTTCGCGAAACAGTTTGCGCCCTTCGCATAGGTCGCACCATACTTCACACAAGGGACACACAAGAAATTCCGATCACGGAGAGCATGGCAACAGCGAACTTCGAGCGAGGAGCCCTAGACATCGTTCGTCGCAGTCGCTCACAAGTTCGCAGTCGGAGTCGCGAACTACTTCTCTTGGCTCGCAATCGCGAACTTCTTGTCAGTGTTCACAGTCGCGAACAGTTTCTTTCAGTTCGCAGACTTCCTCACCAGCCATCAGTTCGTGTCAAAGAAAGACGCGATTGATTGGAGAAACTTCTTCGTGTAAAGTCGCTTATCGGAATTCAGCTAGTTCAAAGACGGAGGAATTACCTCTATTCCACGAGGATGAAGCGTACGAATGGATAGGGAGGATGGAAAGATATTTCCGAGTCCAAGCTATTGCAGAAAGATTTAAAGTAGACATTGCAGCCAAGGCAATGGGGGAAGCTGCAGATGGCTAGTTTCAATGGTGGGACTTTAACAAGAGAGAAGATAGTTGGGAGGCTTTAAAGGAAGACTTGATTAGGGATTTTCCAACTAGACACCGGCAGAAGACAAGGAAGACAGCCAAACAGGAGTCATCGAGGTCACCGAGAACTTCTCGTTCACAAGTGTCTCACCCAACGTTAGAAACTTCCCAGTCTACCAAGAAAAACCAGATAGAACCAACTGAACCTGTAATCAAGCGAGGGAATAAGAGAGATGAAATCAAGGAGAAAAGACAGGTTATTCAATGGCCAGAATCGCCAGATTATGTTTCTTCTAATCTTGCCGAGGATGTGGATTTAATTCCTAGCCAAGTTTCTAATATTGATCCGCTTATCCAACCATGTTCCTTTGGAAATAGAGTCCTAATGACTTCTGAAACTAGTACAGAGGCTCAGGAGGAGGAGGTTGAAATTGTTTCAGGAGAATCTGCTATTATATGGGGAAACCAATCACAGATTCAGGATGATGACAAGCCTAGCCATTTCCAACACCTTGGCAGAAATTCACTGCAACTTGCAACTCTAAATATCAAAGACTTAGCAGGTTCTTTACCTGTTGAAGTATCCCAATGGGTACAAGTAAGGTGGGCAAAGTCTTCAGGGTTTGGTACAATATTGCAGCCAGGGGTTAAGAGCATGTTAGGCTACTCCCAGCTTGACTTACATGATTCATTTAAAGCACCTGGAAATTGTCTCATGTTGGAAGACATCTCTGAAAAGACAGCTCTATTCTTTCCTGATGTTTTTGAATTCGTCACAAGGTTAATACAGAGAATGACCCTTAAGAATTACCAGCAAGCTCTAGGCGAAGTTATTGATACATCAAAATTTTCAAAGAATCTCTATGGTGATCCATTCCATTCTATGGCAAGATTTTCTGGAATGCCAGGAAATTACCTGGGACAGAACAACCCTGGTTTTTGTTGGACTTATGATCCTTTGGTAATTATTATTTCTTTTGATTTTGCATTGGAACTTTCTGATTTTCAGCTGATGGGTGCATTATACAAAGAAAAAAGGCCTAATCTTAAAGTTGACAGCAGGGTGTGCAGTATAATGGAACAAATGTTACTTCGGGGTCATGATGTGGGAATACAATTGGAGATTGTTGAAGTCTTAAATTCAGAAAGAGAAATACCGCATGACTCAAGTTCTCTTAAACTTTCTTCTGACCTGAGTGTGGATGAAGTTCTGTATGAGCTATTCAGTGTGAAGTCTCACTCAAGAGATAGGATGAAATCAGAGGCAAATGCTTTGCTAAGGCTGATCAAGGATTTTTCATCTAGAGGACTAGAAGTATGGGAACTGCTGATACCGCCATCAGGGAAGGGAGAGGAACCCGGAGGAAGCTGAATTCCAAGCTTGGTTCCTATCTCCCCACCTTGAGGACTAGGTGCATGTTTAGGGGAGGAGTATTGATAGGAATCAGGCCCATTAGACTAAGAATAGAAATAATAACAACAATAAATGTAAAGAGAGTATAAATAGCTTGGAAAGGGGAGTTAGTAGGTAGGCTTTTAGACATTTGGTCTTAGGACTGGGAAGGATACGAGACTGAACATCTCTATCTTTTGGGGCTTCGGCTTTGGGGGCCTTTGGCCTTTGTACTGATTATTGTTCATCTTCTTCAATAAAGATTACTTTGTTCATTGATATTAATTTCTGTAATTTCTGGATAATTGGAGAGTTCTATCATTATCAATGGAGTCCACCATTAACAAAGTGGCAAAAGAGATACTCGGAGAATCTAAAGAATGTCTGTCACAAAAAAAGCACACATCTTGATAGAATGATGAGGTGAAATAAGCAATAAGGACCAAAAGGGAATGCTAGAAAAAGTTGAGCAAAAGTTGAAGCGATGAGAACATAGAGGAGTATAAGGAGGCTAGAAGAAAAGAAAAAAATTGTAAAAAAAACAAGAGGGAAAGTAAACAAGGAATTGTATGTCAAATTGGACTCTAAGGAAGGAGAAAATGATATTTAGTATTTACAGAGTTGCTCGTCTTCGTGATCGTAGGACTCAAGATATCGAAAAAGTTAAGTGTGTGAAAGATGTCGATCAAAGAGTACTAGTGGAGGACGAGGAAATAAAAGAGAGATGGAGATCATACTCTGATACCTTGTTCAACGGGAATAAAGTACAAACCATTGATGATCTTACTATACCAGAGTGTATGGTAAATCGGGACTTTTTGAGAACGATCCAAACGACACAAGTTAAAGAGGCTTTGAAAAAGATGGGGCGGAAGAAAGCAGTGAACCCATATGCCAAACTGATCGAGGTTTGAAGAAGTTTGGCAGAGAAAGGCATCGAGTGGCTAAAACATTTCTTCAACATAATTTGGAGAAACAAAAAAATGCCAGTGACTTGGCGGAAGAGTACTCTCATTCCCCTATTTAAAAATAAGGGTGATGTACAAGAATGTGCCAACTATCGAGGGATTAAGCTTATGAGTCACACCATGAAACTTTGGGAGCGAGTGATTGAGCAAAAACTTTGAAAAAGAGTGGAAATTTTGGAGAATCAGTTTAGTTTTATATCTGGACGCTCAACAACCGAGGTCATTCACCTTCTTAGACAAGTTGTGGAGAAGTATGGAGACAAGGATATGCGATTGGTGTTTATTGATCTAGAAAAGGCATATGATAGAGTAGCTCGAGAAGTCTTTTGGTGGGCCTTAATTAGAAAAGGCATATCCTATATTTGGTGGGCCTGCATTAATGTATGGCGTAGAGTCTTGGGCGGTGAAACAATGTCAGATTCAAAAGATGAGTGTGCAGAGTTGTGAATGTTGCGTTGGATGTGTGGACATACTAGAAAAGACCGCTTGAGAAATGAGATAATCAGACAAAAGGTGAGAGTAGCACCTATAAAAGATAAGATGCGGGAGTCTAGTTTGCGGTGCTTTGGTCATGTGCGCAGAAGACCGAGTGATGCACCTGTTAGACGAGTTGAGTGGTGGGGAGAAGAGGCAGGG